AGCCAGCCAGCCCCATCTAAACAAGGCAGCAGTTTCAACAGCTAGAAATGATTCAACAGATGCTCATGAAAGCAAGCAATTCGAGCATGGGTCCTAGTTGAGGGTCGGGCGGCGGGGTGAGGTGGGGAAGCTTGTTGGTTCTCACTGGAAGGATGAATGACCAAGTGGGGTCCGGGTTCAGATGATACACTGCTGGGTTTCAAGCCACTAGAGTTCCCCCGAAACTGCGTGCAGTCGAGGGTGGAGGAGATGGAACGCTGCTCAGATTCACGGTGCATTCTAGTTATTTTGCATGAGTCTATGCCCGGTGAAAAAAAGCATCGGATTGGCTCCATGCTCAGGATTCTGTTACTAGAACCACAAGTGTTCAGCAAACAGATGAAGTGGATTTATTTTTTCAGCAAAGGGCCATGACCATCTTATTGACATGACAAAGGGTGCTTTGGGGCGGAGGTGTGTGCGTGGAATACTCCAAACAGGTCATTGATATATTGCAAAGGGGTCAATGACAACTTTTTTTTAAAAAAAATGTATCAGATATCACCTACAAAGGGTAAATTATTATTATTATTATTATTATTATTATTATTATTATTATTATTATCATCATCATTATTGGGTGCAGTATGGACTGGCAATTTGACAGGGCCAGGTAAATATATTTTGGCACCTCATGTGCCCCCCCCCCGCCACACCTGGCCTCATGGGGGGGCTGACCCCGCATTTTGATGACAACGGCATCGCATGGACACTGAAAACAAGCAAACTAGTATGCATGTGAAACTCCAATTTTCATTTTTATAAATACCGTACTAGGTTAAGGTCTAGTTAACAACAATAACCATTTTTTTAATGTATACAATTTTTCTCCTCCTCCCCGTTCTGTTTTGTTTTCTACATGGGTTCTATTTCTTTCCCTCCCTCCCCTTTCTTTTCCCCATCTTATCTTACTCTGTGCACTTGTAATTTTTTTATCTTTAATTAAAGAATACACACACACACACACACACACACACACAGTGGTACCTCGGGTTAAGAACTTAATTCGTTCTGGAGGTCTCTTCTTAACCTGAAACTGTTCTTAACCTGAAGCACCACTTTAGCTAATGGGGCCTCCTGCTGCTGCTGCACGATTTCTGTTCTCATCCTGAAGCAAAGTTCTTAACCCGAGGTAATATTTCTGGGTTAACAGAGTCTGTAACCTGAAGCGTATGTAACCCGAGGTACCACTGTATATTTATTCCAACCCCAACATTAACGCCCATCTGAAAGCTCTCAAAATTCTATTGGATCAAAACCATCAGAATCCAGCAGGGTAAACAATGTGCCCTACCTTACAGGGTTGTCGTGAAGACTACCGTGAAGCGCTTTGAGCTCTCAGAAGCTCCATATTGGTTAAGGCAGGCTTCCTCAACCTCGACCCTCCATTTGTTTTGAGACTACAATTCCCATCATCCCTGACCACTGGTCCTGCTAGCTAGGGATCATGGGAGTTGTAGGCCAAAAACATCTGGAGGGCCGAGGTTGAGGAAGCCTGGGTTATGGAAAGGTGAGAGAGGGTGCCTGAGGCCATCTGCTTGCTGAAACTCTGCAAGTCTGGGACTGGACAGTGCCTGAATGGGAGACTGAGAACCATGTTGGGAGAAATGGCAGGAAATATACAACAACAACAACAACACGACAAAGCAATCTATTACAGTGGTACCTCGGGTTACATACGCTTCAGGTTACATATGCTTCAGGTTACAGACTCCGCTGACCCAGAAATAGTGCTTCAGGTTAAGAACTTTGCTTCAGGATGAGAGCAGAAATCGTGCTCCGGCGGCAGTGGGAGGCCCCATTAGCTAAAGTGGTGCTTCAGGGTAAGAACAGTTTCAGGCTAAGAACAGACCTCCGGAACTAATTAAGTACTTAACCTGAGGTACCACTGTATTGGCTTGTTGCCTTAGACGCTCTGCACTAACAGACACATTGCCTCTGCGACCACCCCATTGTCTTCTCCCTGCAAAGATCTGCCAAGCACAGTCCTCCCCCTTAGTTTGTTAAGCGTGCTGGGAATTGTGGTTCCATGTGGGTTAAAGTATTGTCCCCAAGATTTTTTTGAGAAAACCGGGCGCTTTAACTGTCTGGTGCGGATGTGAGGCTAGGGGCAGCAGCGGGATGGTCTCCTATTCTCTGAGGTCCATCAGATGAATCAAGGATGTAGGAAGTCCAACCTGCAGGTAAAGTTGACCTTGTTTCAATCAGCCCCAAGACGAATAAATCTCTTTCCTTCGTTCTCCAGCTGCTCCTTTTGCAGACCACCTTCTCCCTGGTGGGTGGGCTTGGGGGAGCAAATAAAGGGGGTGGGTGGAGAGACCTCTCACTAGATCCAGACACAAAACCTGCTTATCTTTCTCCAGAGTTGTGCTTCCAACGGCCGCGTTTGCTTTGGCTTTAGAGTTAGGTAAAGATTATCATTCTTAATATCAAATCCAAACAGTGTAATTGCAAACACACCCGGGGTCTCTTTGGCTGCAGCCACCGAGGTCGCGTTGGGCTGGGGGGGCAGGTCCGGGGAGAGAGACTATTTTCTTTCTTTAATGAGAAACCTTCTTGGAAGTCCCGTTTACTCCAAACAATTTCTCACGTTACTGCGCTTTGCAGGGAGAAGACAAGAACGGAAGGGGAACCCAACACCGTTTGGTAAGGCTAAAATATCACAAGGAAGAGCTGGGACTAGGCGGGGACGCACAGACATTGGCGGGGGGGTGGTGGATAGTTTTCGTTCCTGGCTGCTGTTTCCTTCGGATGGTTTGGGGCTCCTAAAAACTTTCCCGCTTTCGAGATCGACAGAGTCGCGCCAGGGACAGTTTGGTCTCTCAAGGCAGAGGGACTCTTCCCTGCAGACCCTTTCAACTTAAAAGCACGGACAGCTTTTAAGTTTCTAGGCCTTAAGACACAAAGACTCTGCTGGTAATAAAAGAGAAGCGTCGGTCAGCATCTAGGTTCGCGAAGGGCTGCTCTTCATACACACAGATTTGCTAAATCCAATTGCTCTAAGGATAATAAACCAGGGTTTTCTCTATATAATGTAGTAGAACGCTTTTGGACTCAGTGGGACTTTGATGTAAAGTCGCTAAGAAGACTGTGACGTGAGCCTGCATTGATGACAGTCGCAATATATATGAAATCGTGCAGATAACATTACAGGTTTGGAGTGGCTGAGTGTGTAAAAAGGACTATTCTCTGAACACAATCGTCTTCCAGAGTTTGGAATGGTAGGCGACCTTCAAAATATCGGAGTAAAATTCTCCTCTTGTAACTAAGATGCCAGATTGGAGTCCTCTGCGCACTTACTCGGGAATAAATCCTACTGAAAAGAATAGGACAAAATGTTGAGGTCAGGCGAAATTATATAACACGTGGAACTGAATCGACACCGTGAATCTATCCCTCTTACTCGGAAGTAAGTCCTAGGGCCTTACTTCCGCGTAAGCGGGCCCAGATACTGGCCCTTCTAGAAGGCGACACGATGCAAGATTGCTTTAAAAATCATGATTATTCTAACAGCTCAGGACTGAGCTATTCTCTGACGAGGATGGAGCGTGATAAAAAAAATAATAATCGGGCAGGCGCAATTTTGCCTGTGAATCACACACGCACACAGAGTCCATGTTTACTCAGAAGAAAGTCGCACGGATTTCCATGTGCCTTACTCCCAAGTAAGTGAACGCAGGATCGAGACTTTAGGAAGATGCAAAGAATGATGTTCGGACAACCACAGCCCGTTAAGATAGGAAGGCAAGGGAAAATCTCCAGATCAGCAGTCTCTGAATGAGAGGCTGAGAGATCTGCCACCCTCGAGATTATTAGTATTATTATTAATAACAACAACAATAATAATAATTACCCGCCCTTTACCTTAAGGTCCCAGGGCGACTTGCAGCATTAAACCACAATATTAAAAACAATTTAAACAAGTTGCAATCATAAATATCATGAGAGTCTCAGAACATAATTAAAGTAGCAGCACCAAACCACAAAATACGCAGAACCGGGACAAACCCATAAAGCGCCTTGCAGAGAATTGGAAATGTTGCCTCTCGCTCTGCATGGTGAGGCTGGCAGGGACGCAGGAGGAGGGCAGGGAAGAGAGACGTGGGGGGAGGGTTGTGGATTCTTGGTGGTCGTCCCTTCTTGGGATGATAAACAACTCTGGTTACAACTAAGGGCTGTTCTCCCTGGGAGGAAGAGGCTCGCCTTGCCAGCCTCAGAAGCGGATTGTTTTCCTCCAGAGGTGCGCGCTTGGCCCCTTCCTCTCAGCCACTTAACCCCTTCATCACGTGAGACGCCCCTTCTCCACATCTCAAGGGGCTGGACAGCCTCCTGTCGGAGCCCCTGGATCTCACGCCCATCCATTCTGCTTTAAACAAGGCTGGAGTGCAACCCAGGCGCACAACCCGCCAGTGGGGGGAGGGGAGGGGGAATAGATCCTGGCAATATGCGGAGATCGGATGCAAAAGGCACACCCGGAGGAGTGATCTCTGGAAAGCCGGCAAAAGAACAAGAAAAGCGTGGATTCGCGGCAGTAGATGCTCTTTGAATGCATGAGGCCTAGCGACTTGAGAATACAGAACGGGAGGTTGTTGGGTAAAAGCGACAAGCGAAGAAGGCAAGCCACAAATAATGAAAGTGCTCTCTCTCGCTCTTTCTGTTCCTAAGCCATTTACTCTGCTGTTGTCCCATTCATTTTATGACTTCACAGGAGGCACTCGTACTATTTCAGTAGAACAAATGGCCAGAGCACATCTTAAAATAATCCCACGCACGAGGAAATGCCATCCGTTTCAATAACCGCTAGTACGTTTCTGAAAAAGCGGTCCCGATTGTTCCTTTTGGGGGGTCGGGGTTAGAGAAAGAGAAGAACCTATATCATTTATCTCTCCCCCCGCCAGCTTAGAGTCTTCAGTTGAATCACACAAAGGCCAAAAGGCAAAAAAAATTCAAGCACAGCTTCTTTTTTTTACACAAAGAGATTTATTTTACAACCTTGGAAACTTTATCTAGCTTTTCTTATATACAGGATTACTTTCCACATTTTAAATAGATAATCATTTTTTTGTCTTTGTTAAAAAAGGGAATAAGAGATAAAGAAAAGTACTAACATTATATACAAAAACAAAACCCACGCAAACACAAACCCTAAATCTCAGGAACTTTAAAAAAGAGAGAGAGAAGAGAATACAAGGCAACCAGGAACTTCCTTCAAACAGGAATGAACTGTGTTACCCAAAGAAAAGACCCTCAGTAAACCACAAGGCAATATCTTAATTATAAAAGGAGAGGGCCGGGGTGGTCGAGGCAACGTTCGGTAAAATAAAAACACCTCTGAAATTTGGTTTTGCGGGAAGGGGGGGGGGGCGGAGTGGAAATGCAAGCGGGCCGGCGCACTTTTGTCGGAGGGCAAAACTTCCTTTTAAGAAGATGCGTTTTTTATTTGTTCAGCTGTGTGTTCTTTTCCACAACGCCGCCCTCCACCCCATCTAGGATTTCCAGAAGATTAAATTAATTGTGATTTAGTCCAAAGGGCGAAGTGGAGGGGGAGGGGCGGGGAGGGAGGGAGAGAGACCGTCCCTTGCGGGGCTGCTGCATGTTTCCAAAAATACTACCAGGCCGGCTACTTCTCCACGACTTCCTCCCCGCTGGGTACTCTGCGGTCTTCCGACGAGATGCTATCCACGATAGAGGAGAGGCAACGGAGGCTGCTCGACGCGGACGAGTCGCCAAGGGGATTCCCTGGGTTTGGAAGGGGGGAAAGGCAGTTTAGCGCACGCGGGATCGGGGCCCCATCCTCCTCACGAGCCACTTGTGTTTCTGAACCGAAAAGCACCCACAGAATACCACGGCAGGAGCCCCTGAAAGACCCACACACTGATCATGGAAGGGGCGGACAGGCGAGTCAGATCTGTTTTGTTGCAAAAAAGGTGGAATCCCAAGATCTACCAACCCAAAGTCAGGTGCAAAAGGCAGGCAGTTTAGAATAAAATCGGGGTGGTGGAGATTCTGAATCCGGCCATTTATTGTCAGCACGGGGCTGACACTTCTGGTTACCACCTATATATATTCGTTTCCTCCGCCGAATTCAAGGAGTTGGGGTCTCGTCGTTAAAAGAATTGGCAGCTGGAATCCCTTGCAGATCTATTCCAAATGACGGAGAGATCGATCACCCAGGGGACCCCTCCGTGTGTTATCACCTTTCTGGGACACACGCCACTTAGACAGATGCAGCAGACTGACAGGGTTAGGCCCCCCCACCGGGAGTTATTTGGAAACGTGAATCCCATTCATTTCCAGCAAGGATTTTACTCACAAGCCCAAAACATCCAAAGTAAACTAGCGCAACGTTTTCTAGTTGTGCGCCTCTCAGATTTGCGCCTCTCAGAGGACGTGTTTTTAGGATCATAGGCTGGGCAGGACCCTATTGCGAAATCGCCGCTGAAAGAATCGGGTCCGCTTCCAAGTCAGTGAGCTCAGGACGGAATGGGGGTGCAGTGTAGTGCGATCCTGCAGGCAACTCTCGAGGCAATTCACCCTCCAACGGGAGCTCTCCAGAAAGCAAACGCATTGGGAAGATTACCCAGGTTTGGCCTGATAAAGGAGCGGAACAGGTGCAACTCGCAGCTGGTGTTGAAAGGAAACGTCGGGATTCCTTCTGTGCGCTTCTCCTTAGGACAGAGACCGCGCTTGCAAACTTAAGTACCCGCGCTGTAGAGAGGAGGTGCTGCTTAGCTCAGTGCTTAGGATCGCGCTGCGCCTGATTTATTAGGGCAGAAACTTTCAAAGGCGTCTGTGAGCCGCCCCCTCCCCTCCCCTTCCAAACCAGCCGCCATCTCTCGGGGAAAGAGTCCCTTGGGAAGCAGGGCTGCTCCAGGGGACCCGCGTGTGTGGGACTTCGCGTGTGTGCGCGCGCGGGCGCAAATGTGAGTAGGCGGACCAGGCGAATCCTGCGAAGTGAAAGCATTTGGGCTGCGGGTGGGGGAAGAGAGGGCGTAGTAGGGGGCACAACAATCCCGAGTCTCCCAGCCAGATGAAACACCCCACCCCACACCCCAGTCTCCTTGTCAGTGTGGAGCTTTACCTTCCTTGGCGCCGATGGGCAGCGCCCTGGAATGCTCCGAGCCGCTGGGCCAGTCGGCGCTGCAGGGGCTCAAGAAGTCGGGCGGGGGCACCTGAGGAAGGAAGGAAGGAGAGAAAGAGAGAGAGAGTTGGGGGCGGGAGTGGGGCAGGGGGAGAGGGAGAGGGAGGGGGCTGGCACGAAAGGGGAGTGCTGATGAACGGCAGCAACAGCAGCAGCAGCAGATCCTCCGCTGGCCCGGCTGCGCCCCCCCTCGCCAACTCGGAGCGGGGCTAAGGGAGGCGACCGCGCCTTTTGGGCGCGGCAGTGGCGCTTACATGGCCCTGCTTGGCGCTGCCGGCGAAGGCGTCTCCGACGGCGCCCCCGTTGGCGGGCAGCAGGAGCTGCTGGTGGCTCTTGTCCTGCTGGTCGAGGCGGTGCAGGAGGTCCTGGAGCCTCTCGATGTAGCTGATGGCGCTGCGCAGGATCTCCACCTTGGGCAGGCGCTGGTTGGGGTTGGCCACCGTGCGCCTCTTGAGCGCCTCGAAGGCCTCGTTGATCTTCTTCAGGCGCCTCCTCTCGCGCAGCGTGGCCGCCTTGCGCCGGTCGGTGGGCGCCGACTTCCGCTTGCACGTCTTGCAAGCCCACATGAGGCACTGGCCCGGGCAGTGGGGCGCTTGCAGGCCCGGCGGCGCCAGCACGTGCTGCTCCTCGTCAGCCCCGATGCTGCTGCTGCCGCTGCTGCTGTCGCCCCCGCCGCCCCCTCCGGCCTCCGGGGCCAGCTGGTCGGGGCACGAGCTGGGCGACAAGGGGCCCTCGCTGCCCGGGTACAGCGGCGACCCCTCGTCGGCCATGTCCAGGGCCTGCAGGCCTCCATGGTCGCCGGCGTCCAAGTAGAAGAAATAGGAGCCGGGCTCGAAAAGGTCCATCATCATGGCTCTCCCGCCGCCTCTGCGCGCCTCTCTCGGAGGGGCTCCCGACCGAGAAGCCCCCGCAGAGAAGCCGCCCGGCCCGGCGGAATTTAATTAGCGCGCTGACATCAGGGCCCCCGGCTGCTTTATATATAGAGTCGCCGCTGAAACCCTATCCCCGGTTTAGCTGTCGCGGCGCATCACCCTCGGCGAGCCCGGCCAACACGACGCTCCTTCTGGGTGCTGCTGCTGCTGGCCGGACAGAGCGACAGCCAGAGACCATCCTCGCCTAGTCGAGGAAGAAGAGTCCTTGGGGAGAGATCCCCTTCTCCCCAAAGCGCGCTCCCAGCTTTCTGAACCCCAGACCCGTCCAGCACAGCCAGAGTGACAAAGTTGGACACATGGGACTCGCTTGCTGGCATGGGCGTGAGTGAAATGCAGCAGGTTGGTTTCAGGCCAAAGGGCTTCAAACGAAAATCCCCTCTCCCTTCCCAGCCTTGGGCTAAGTATAGAACTCTGGCTAGGCTCTAATGATTATACTTGCAAATGGGCCAGGTAATAACTTTGTGGGGTTGTGCTTTTTAAACAAAAAACAAAAAACAACAGAATAATTAATTAATTCATTAATTTGTACCCCGCCCATCTGGGCAACATACCTTAGGACCAGCTCAAGGGCGCAAAGCAAGGGTGGGATCTTGTGGTCCTCTGGATGTTGCATGAGCACATCTCCCATCAACCTTGACAGCTGGTTGTGCTAGCAGCAGGGGCTGGTGGAAATTGGAGCCCACAAGTTTTCAATCCCTATGATAAAGTGAAAGTAGCCTGGGACTTATTGCTGGTGATGCTTGGGCTTCTTGAAGAGGGATTGGGAAACTTCTAGCATCCTCCAGGTGTTGTAGGACAACTCTTGTCACCATTGGCCGCACTGGCTGGGACTGATGGGGTTTGGAGTCGGACAATGCCAGGAGGGTGACACAGGTTCCCGATCCCTGCTCCAAGGGGATGCTGCCAGGAAGAAGAGCCCCAGCCTCTAATGCTACTGGTGATGATGATGGTGGAGTGTCTCTGGGCTCTGTTCCTGGCATCTCCCAAACCATGTTCTGTCTAATGAGACTTCAGGTCAAATTGCTGGATTAAGGGCAAGATAGAAATAATTTACTAACCAATCACAAAACCAGGCTGGTTCTTGCCACTGTGCACTGAGTGAGCCTGTGCCATATCCGGCCCACCTCAAATTGTTCAGCTTGCAATTCAGCAATTCAGCCAATATTCAAAATGAAAGTCTTACAGATGTTAATGGTAAGCCCAGAACAAGCCATGGTGGAAACTTGTAGTTTGTTTTGGAACAGACCATGAGCTTTGGTTCAGATGTAACACTAAGCCAAACCATGGCTTGGCCTTGGGTAGTGCAGTGGCAGCAGAACCGGGGTGTAGCATAGTGGCCCCAGTTTCTAGCACGCTTGAACATTTATGCTTAGCCACAATTTAGTGTTATGCACAAACTGAACCACTGTGATGCTGCAGATACAAAGTGATGAATGGAGGTGAGCCAGCCATTCCTCTGGGTGTGCATGAAAAAACAACTAATCTGTGGTGAGACAATTGGATAGCTAAGTCAAACCTACTTGGCAAGACAATTTTTATTATGTCACCACTTCTCTCGATATACGATCTGAATAGATGCTCTGCTTGTATATATGGCCGTAGGGTCTTTCAGTTAGTTTAGGGATTAAATTGCGGAGAAAGATACATTTTTATGAATGCCAAGAAGACGTCTTTCAATATGTCAGAGGTGACTAACCTGTGACCCTCCAACCCCAGCCTGCATGACCAATGGTTAGGTCAGCAACATGAGGAAAGACACAAGTTAGCCACCCTTGCTATATGGGACTAGGAACACAGCACAACTGAGTTTAAGAGGCAGGCCTGTTTTTCTGCCAGTTTCCCCATTCCTGTGTTGCAATTTTTTCCTGGACCTTTTTTGTTTTTTAAAAAATCTGATACCAATTAAACTATTTTGATTTTTCCACTGATATCAGAGTCAACGGGCTTTAGTTTTTAATGAGTAGATACTGGGGGATTAGACACCAGACCTCTCTAACTCTGACATGAGATTGGCTCATCCATAATGAATAGGAGGGGAAGGAACAGTTAAACTTAATATATCCACTTTTCCTTTACCTTTTTTTCCTAGGCGCACCATAGTTACCCTGCAAATGTCCTTGTCCATTTGCAATGACTGATATGCCATTGCCTCACCCTTTCCCACCCTTCTGTAAGATTATTACTGTTTTAATTATCTTTTTTATTATTTTATAGTCTAAAATCGGAAACCTGACCAGAAGTGGTGCAAATTTCATATTTCAGACATGAAAAAAGTTCTAATCTGTCCTTTTCAGAAAGCTGCTTTGCAGCTGAAAAAAGAAAAATAGTGTGGTCAATATTTCATTTTTTTGTAAAATCCCTAATTTTGAAACAATCACATTGACTCATGATTTTTCGATGTGAATCCACACATTTATCTCATTAAGTAACAAACTTTTTCTGTGATGGCTGATTTCCGACTTGTGCAAAACAGCTTCTACTTGGAGAAGTGGGTGGGACAACACAAAAATGTGACCACATCAGCGGAAATGCGTGGAAATTACAATTTTCTGTACATGACCACTTTTCAGTTTTTCCCATGGGGCTGTTTCACGCATATGGATTCCCACATAAAAATGAAGCTATTGGGAGGACTTCACACTTCAGAAATAGTCTTGTAAATTGGCCTTGGGACTAAAATTCAAAATTCTTGTTAAAATGCAAAGAATGTGTTGCATGGAGTACAATTTTATGATGAAATTACGGGCAAAGAATGCCACCTTTAGCTGGGATCCAAAATGCAAAAGATACTGATAGATACAGATGCACAGACAATGGTTCGTACCCAAAAAAACCCCAACTGTGGCAATTTATACAAGACAAATGAGGTAAGTCTGTGCATCTCTGGTATTGATAATAACCTCACTTTCTGTGCCCTCCTCACTCCATAGCATTCCCTTGCACCAACCCCTTTGAAGGGATTGAGGACTACTGCTATCCAGGTGCTGGGAGTATGTCCAGCTCCAAGTGATGGATTGAGGATACAGTGGTACCTTGGGTTACAGACGCTTCAGGTTACAGACGCTTCAGGTCATAGACTCCGCTAACCCAGAAATAGTACCTCGGGTTAAGAACTTTGTTTCAGGATGAGAACAGAAATCATGCTGCTGTGGTGCAGTGGCAGTGGTAGGCCCCATTAGCTAAAGTGGTACCTCAGGTTAAGAACAGTTTCAGGTTAAGAATGGATCTCCGGAACAAATTAAGTTCTTAACCCGAGGTACCACTGTGTACTGTAAGTTGACTTCCTGCTGTGCTGATGCTGGGACCCTAATGCTCAGTCCTTGAGATCCTAGGACTGCATCACCAACTCCCCAGCCATTGTGGACCATAGGGAAGAGCTGTAAATTTTCAATAAGGGTGCTTGCTCTCATTTTAAAATTTCATTCTGAAACAAATATATCTCCTCCTTAAATGTGAAGCCAGTTCACACATGCATATACTGTACATTGCTTGATCTTTTAAAATGTCATTACTTCGGACTTCAACACTTGCAGATGAGTGTGTAAGTAGACAGTACGGTATTTAAAGTGTTGTGGGAATGCACATGACTCATGCTGCACATTTAATGAAGATGTATATGGGAGAGAGTCATATACATCCCCGATCTTCTGTTTGAGGGGAAAGGATGCATGTGTAACATTTGATCTGCTATTTCACACATTCAGCGTGCTATTTGATGGTGCAGTTATTTATATATGGCACTTATCAGCATATATAAATGACAAAATGTCACATTTATCAAGTGAAATAACTCTGGATAAGATATGTTTGGATCTAGGGCACCTCTGACTATGAATTTGTGGGATCTAGTTGAAGACGAATCATGTAGAATTGCCTTCCTTGACTGGCACAATCATTATTATTAGGTGCTGGTTGGAAGCCTTGTCATTCAAGCCATTGGAGGAAGCAGTTAGGAGGACCACATTTTCCCTCCTCAGGCCACAGCCAGACTTGGGCCTACAGCTGCAAGGTGGCAATGAGCAGGGATTTCTGCATATGCTCTCCTGCTTGTTACAAGCTAGTTCAGAGACAGCAGCAAGAGGGCTAAGTAGTTAGTGATTGGTGTGCAGAGTTTGCCTCCTGAGGCTTTTTAAACACACTTGCTACAATAAAGCAGTACTTAACTTTGGGATAGCTCAGTGCATGGTGCCGATAGCACCAAGGTTACAGTTTCAATGCCCATTTGGGACAGCTACTTATTCCTGCATTTCAGGGGCTTGGACTAGATGATTCTCAGGGTCCCTTCCAACTGTATGATTCTGTGGTTATTAATAACATCACCACCCATCTTTCACACCATTTATGTATGAAAATAAAATTATTTACTCATACCCCACCATCAATATTTGACCTGTATTGAAGTCAAAGGGCAAATATTTGTTTGATGTGTGTTTATCGTCGGAATTCACATCCCATGCTCCTGATAGACCGTTAGGGTAGTTTATAATGTAAATAATAAAAAATACACTCAAATGCATTTAAAAGCACCAAGGCGCAATGGATGAAAAGTGGCAGGATCTGAAATCTAAACACGACCATGTAAGAACCTCACAGTGACAAAACAGTTTTTGTGCAAAGGTTAGCAGAGTGGGGGCAGAGGCACCGCAAAAAGGTGGCATCAGTGTAGATGTCAGGCAAGCATCCTTGGGGAGGGCATCCCACAACCGGTGTGATGTTACGGACAAGACCCTCTCCCTCTTACCTGACACACACTAGATGGGGAGAGGATAGGAATAAGCAAAGGTTGAGACAGGCTTCAGATGCCGAGATCCCAAGCCATGAAGGTTTTTAAAGGTCAAATTCAGCACTTTAATTTGGACCCATTCCACTGTAAAGTACAGTGTAATACGATCATATCTAATCCTGATTTGTAATCTTGCAGCTGTATTTTGAACAAACTGCAGTTTCTAAGCATGTGGAGAAATTCATATTTCAAAGCAACTGAAAGAATAATCATGTACCTAGGTATGTTTTTAATAATTTAAGCACACACAATCCTATTGAAACATACTATATGTTAAACGTTAGCTCTTGTACACATATCTTTGAAATGTAGGCAATTATTATTTCCAATTAATACTTGCTAATATCGCATAGCTCTAGAATAATAAAATGTTTGTGGACATAAATGAATAAAGGTGAGAATCAATCAGAAAATCTATTTGGATGGCCAATTTTCTGTTTGATCTTTTTGTTTCTGTCCTTGGTAGAGGCGTCTTACTTTGCTGAGATCTTGGCTGGGCAAGTGTTACTAATTATTATTGTTGCCCTTT